ACTATTGAAATCATGTATGTAATAAATTAGTCACGTTTCGCGTTTAAATCTTGGACGTCGAGTCTCATCTCGATAACCCGGATATCTCGGCATTTTCTGAAAGTTCCGTTGATGCCGGGATACTATTAGTTATCCAGGTCCAATCAAGGGTGTACGGGGATTTACCCCGGGTTTTATTCCATACACCATGAGGCCGAAGTTTATAACTGTACCTGACTTTAAGGGAAGGATTAAATAAACACACATACCTTTCTGCTTTTAATAAAAAATATATATTAATTTCTCTTCCAGTCGAGTGGTGACAGGAAAAAATACGAGTCATGTTCTTTAATCTCACCATTCCAAGAAAGTGGTATTCTTTGAAAAATGGATTGCCTATTTTACTTTTAGCTTCCACGTCACAAGCAGATACTAAGTCTCCTATGAAGAGATTCAACTTAGAGCGGCAGAGTTTCAAACATTCAAGGGAATATTGCTTAAACGCATCAAACAAAAAATATAACGTGTATTGAACGTAATATTCAATTATTGCTTAAGACTTCTGAAAACCTTTGATGTCAAGTTAGCTGATGTCACGGATTAAGATGAATAGATGACCTCAATTGCGTAAAAATATATTTAAGTCTTGAAAGATATTCAGTTTCAATTTCAAATAGATTTCGTCAAAATTGTAACGCAACTATATTTTATTTTGCTTAGAAAAATCCAGCTCCATTAAGTGTACATATATTAAAAAGAGTCAAGAGCAGTACAGCCCTCTCTTTGATCAAACTGTACAATGTTATTTTTTACAGAACTTTCCGTAAATCTGAGTTGGAAACCAGACAATCGTTTACACATGCATTTTGAGTGATTAATATCTGACGAGATTTTATCGATTCCAAAAATCCAGGGAGGTTATTATTTCAGATTGAGCGCAATGTTACAAGGAATTAAATTTTTCTAGAATTGAAATGTCGAGCATTGATAAACTTAAAATATGACACGTGTCTGCCGGCTATCTTTGCATGTCCAGCAGGTGATACAGAGTAATTAGTATCTGGCAATATGATAGCGAATTGCCAAATCGTTTCGACATTGAATCATTTTTACAGAAACCAATTTTTATAAAGTTTTCTTTTTGAGATTACATTAGCGACCCTTCTAAGAAATATTGAACGATTGTTGTGTCCAAGTGATACAGTAGTAGCGTGGAAACCACAGGTGCAAAGCACCCCCCCCCCCCAAAAAAAAAAAAGTATAGAAGCATTTATAGCAGCTTTTTTTTATTAAGCATGATTTACTTTGAAATTTTTAAAGAAGTTGAGAAACAGTTTCAATTTTCACGTACGAATTAACCTTTCTTAAACGACAATCCTTTGACATCATTATGTGTCTCTCTTTTATGTTACTAAGACAGGAGAAGAAATTGAATTGTATGATGAACAATGAAAATTTATTAAACATTTGTTTTATCAAAGTATTTTTAAAAAGTTTATTTAAAAAAATCGCTCGGATGTACAGAACATATTTATTATTTATGATTTTTTTATGAACTGAAGATGCTTTAAAAAAAAAAAACATTATGGCGTCCATTAGAATTCTTTGGTGATACAGAAAATACATAAAGTGTTACATATATTATTCCCCTCCTATAACAACGTGTGTGTGTCTGTGTGTCGACGGGGGGGGGGGGGGTCTAAGTTAATGCCTGCTTATATTAAACCAAAAATATTTTTTTTTATATATATCGGGATCGATGTGCTGATGTCCTGCGTTACGCGCGTTGCCCTTCCTTGGGTTGAATCTATCCTTTCTCTGTGAAGTTTTTTTTTATGTTTTTAATTTACAAGTGTTTTATATATTGTATAAATTTGGCTAGAGTATTAAATATAAAAAGAATATCTTGTGCTGAAATAGTGGAATTGTACAAATATTATTTTTTCAAATGAATATAAACCGTTCCTAGATCCTGTCATGGCCATCCCACCCCCCTCCTTTACGATATCACTGAATCTGTCTCTAAAATAGTATGAACTATAAAGGCAACTTTCCTTAAGAATAATTACATACTAGAAGCTTGGAAGAAGAAATCAATTTTTTTTTTCAAGTTTATTTGTGTCAAAACGATTAAAGTTATTTAAATAATTTTAAGAATGTTTGGAAACTGAATTTGACGCACGCGACGTCATTACATTTTCAGTGAGTAACGTCAACGTTATTTTGAGGCGATTTACTAAAATGCTCATAAAATATTGAAAAATTGAGATATTTTTAAAAGTTATGTATTTTTGCATTCAGAAAGAGTCAGGCTATCAAAATATACCAAAAAGTCAATTTGTGAAATTTTGACCTTAAGGGCCCTTTTCTCATGACGGCAGTCATATATATATATATATATATATATATATATATATATATATATATATATATAGATATAGATAAAGATATAGATATATGTATGTATGTATGTATGTATACTTTTTAAAAACACTTTTTGGCCCTACTTCCGAATATTGAGATATCGTATCAATGTCAAAGCAGGTGATGTTATTTTGTTTTCCCCCTCTAACCTAACCTTGCCCTTACACTAACTCCTCAGCCCAATACTAACTCTAAACCTAACCAACCTTATGTGTGAAATCTTAAATTATTTACAAATTCCTGTCAATGTCAATTGGATATCGACTTTGCAATCGTTAATTTACATTCTTTAACTTGATTTTTTACAGATCAGGATCGATATGAATCAATGCGGATACGATATTGGCAAGGTATGGCGAAGGTTTGGGGGAAGATATCGACAAAGCAATCAGTCTTGTCTTTGGTGATCATTAATTTTAATAACATTATACAGATCATGATACAGATAGATAGGATTTCAACATGATTTTGTCCATATCGATACTGAATTCGGTCTTTGACATGTATATCTTGACATTATTTTAGCGCCCAAGTTCAAATATTTATATTTAACTCATTTTACTCATTACATAATACAAAGTGTAAAAAAAAAGCTTACAGAGTGCAATTTTTAAAAATACAGATGAAAAACGAATTTTCAATTAAGATTGCATTTAGAATAATAATAATAATAATAATAATAATAATAATAATAATAATAATAATTATTATTATTATTATTATTATTATTATTATTATTATTATTATTATTATTATTATTATTATTATTATTATTATTATTGATTTTCTAAATTCACAATATCATCACTTTTCTGTTTTCATTTTCCTATATAACTACGTCTGAAGTTTTATCTAATATTTTTGTGAGGAGTAAAGGTATGGCTTGGTAGAACATTTACTTGACACTGCAATGTATCTGTTTGTAAGAATTTTTTATGAAGCTATGCAATTTAGTATAGGTATGCGCTCTCTCTCTCTCTCTCTCTTTCTCTCTCTCTCTCTCTGCATTTTATAAGTTTTCTGACTTCATACTAGATGTCGACTAAAAACTACTTTTAAATTTTTACAACATGTATGTTTTATAAAATGTCCTATCTGATTTGCAATATCATACCGTGAAATCTAATTTGAAAAACACTGTTTTCCGTTTGAGACAAATTTTATGACACTCTAGATGATGATGATGATGATGATGATTAATATCATCATCATTAACATAATAGTAGTAATAGTAGTAGTATCAGTAATACTGTTCAATTCATTTTATCCTTGCTTCCTTGCTGTAAGTCCTTCAAACTTCTTAAATAAAAGTAGCAAACCCACATAGTTTTTGCACAAGAACTAGCTGCAGCCTGGGCGCTTGGTCAGTGACGTGGGGTAGGTTTATCAGGATACACTTGGCCTAGGATCTGGATCTGCACAAAACGCACAGGAGGCATTATTTATTCAACAAGCCTTCAGAGGAAGTAAAGTTGGGCTGAATTATGGCATAAAAAGACGGAATGTGATTTTTGTATGTCATATGTTTGAAAGAATAAAATTTGATTGTTGAGATTCTTAGAAAGTTCTATTATTTTGTCTGTGTAAAAATTCTTGGCAATAGATTTCATTATTCAGTGTTTTGTTATCAATGAATAAATGGAAAACTCTTCGCAAGATTACTTTCTAAGAAGAAAAAATTGATGGGTGGACATGAAATGGAATAAACTGTTAGTTCAAACCAGCAGAACTACATTATCACTAGATACCTTTTCGCACAGTGATTTATAACATATCTTTTATGCTTCTAGATTGGCACTGTTATGCTGACAGTTAGTAACACCTTGAACTCTATGTCACCGTGATGGATTATAAGTTAGAATAAATACGCCATAAATTCTCAGTCTTCATAAGACTCTCCCATTGGACGGACTGACAGTCACTTCTGAGGTGAATATCACTAGAGCCTAGGAAGGTTTTGTAATTCTTTGAAGATCTAGACTTTTGAAATTCACACCCATGTCAACTTAAATCTATTTTGGACAGCCATCATTGGATATATATATATATATATATATATATATATATATATATATATATATATGTTCAATGTTAAAAATAAATGGTTAGGAGTGCATTCTGCTTAGATTAATGAAATTAAACTTTTGAATTTTGGCGATTTATAATTTAAAAAAAGTCTTGAATCAGCGAGCATATTTCGAGATATATGGCGAAAAAAATTATTGCAGAAAAACATACTTCTTGGGATTTATCATTAGAGACCAAGAGAATTATTATTGAAAACATAAGATCTAGAATTTTTCTTCAAAATATTTTAGAAGACTATCAAAATTACAATTAATAAGAATATGAATAACAAATAAGCGGCAAGTGGGCAAAATTATTTATACTTATTTCGAGAAGTACGGTTAAATCGACACTTTAAATCTGACATTTTAGAGAAAACATATTTAAGTTATACATTTATTCTGCTTCCTATGTAATCAGATGTGATAAAATGCAAAAAGGTACATTTAGCTAGTTCAAAGATGTTTATTTGCATTTATTTTGACCTTAATTCTCTTTCTAAAATTTCATTCCAAGCTGATTTGGCGATTATGATGAGCTGTAAGGTTATCCTGTGTCTTGGGTTCCTCGCTGTTGGTAATTTTTTTTTAAACTTTACTTTATCCAACTTGAATAGCCATAGAGCTGTTATGATTAAGTTCAAGATATTGTAGTTTACAAATATTAGATTGAAAATAAGATGAACTGGATATTTTCTGCCAAAAACATTTTGTTGAAAGTAAAATACTGATTTGTAAATCAAATCTTCTCATTACTATCATTCAGAATTTTAGAATAAATCGAATTCATTTTGTATTTCGAAGTAAAAAGAATCTTTTAAGAAAAAAATCTGTTAAATAAAGTGTAAAAATTGAAAAAAAAATCTTGAATTTTATCATTTACCCGTTGTTCATAAATTGTTTATGCATGAAGAAACAGTTCGTTTAGCCAAATTCAAAGAATACATTTTTTCTTTGATTCTGCCAGGATTTCGCCATGCCCTGGCAGCTTATGGAGGGCAAACTTGCACCATACCCACGTCAGGTAACCCGGGGGCCACTACTGTGTGTACAGGGACTGCAAATGGCTTTTGTTTGGTAGACACTTTTACCACCGCGGGTAGCCCATCTCTCACTTCCGCCACTGTAACTGGAAAATGTGTCTGTTATTATGGATACAGTGGTGCCTCTTGTGGAAGTAAGTTTTTTTTCATTATTTATACGTTTTTAATGTTTGAATGTCCATTGGAACATCAACAATGTTTTTGTAAATACTGTGGACAAAAGACGACCATGTGTTGTCTATATTATTTTCCTTCATACTGTCTATTTGATTTTATTTAAAATTTAGCTTAGAGAGCAAAATAAAAATCGAGAGTTATTAACCACAAAGTAGGCATTATCGGTGAATATTTATAGTATAAAACATTTTTAAATTATTCATTTAATGCGCCCTTGTTTTAGCTGTTGATCCTACGGCCACATCTTCTTCATCCTCCTCAAGCGGCAAAAGTAACGCCATTGCAGCATTAGGGCTAGGACTAGCTGCAGCCTGGGCACTCAGTCAGGGGCTCGGATCAGGTGCATCACAGAATGCACTTGGCCTTGGAACTGGATCTGCACAAAGTGCACAGGAGGCCTATTACATTCAACAAGCCACTGGAGGGGGAAATGGTTATGGTTATCGAAAATAAAAGACAGAGTACGATTTGTGAATGTCATATAGAGCTTGAAAGGATTAAATTGGATATGTGGAATTTCCAGCAAGATTCATCATTAGCTTATAAAAAAAGTAACAATAATTGAATAGTTGATTTTCTTGAAATTTAAAATGTATGTAAAAGGCGATGATAGTGAACAGTGATCTATCTAATCTCATAAATCCAGTAAACTAAATAAATCGTGAACAGGGCAGAAACAGACCCTGGAAACACAGAGGTGGGATCAAGTATCTAGGAGGACAAAGCATCACCTGTTGACCGGTCACTTCCGCGTGAGCCCTATGTATTGATCAGGTTTACAGAGTACTCCTTAGTCAAATTTTGTATAAAAGCAATGAACTAGCAAATGGTATGAAAACATATCAGACAAATTACGACCCAACGATAGGTTGTACTTATAAACAAGGCTATTATAACGACCGTAGAGTTTCCGAAAAGCTGACTTTAAAAGATGTTGATGAAAATCTTGTAACATCAACTCATTTGTCAGTAGCTTGCCTCGGTTTAAATATTGATTGTTCTCAGAGCATGCTTTTGCAGATCGAATGAGCAGGGAGACAATCACCATATGCAGGTATGTTGGAATATTACAACATAAAAAAGGAATGCTATAAATATAAATAAATTCTGCTTCCAAGGAATATAAAAAGACGTCGGTTTATAAAGGAGCACAATTAGTGCCCATCGAAATTCCAACAGTTTGTTGGAAGACCCGGTCTCCAAAGTGTACATAAAATGTAAAACTTATGATGTTTTGATTACAAGCTCTTCTTTTATTAGCAATCTTACTGGACAGAGCATCTATACCAAAACTTGTAAAAATCTGAACTGCAAATCTTCTTACGTTATCTACGGAATAGAATGTACTCTTTGTTGGCTTATTTATGTTGGTGAAACCAGGGTTCATTTAATAAAAGAATATCGGGGCACTGATTTCAAATTAACAACGGGGGTCAGCAGCTTCTCTACAAGCACTTTAGTCTACCCGATCATTCTATTTTGTCAATAAAAGTTATATTTCTACAAAAGATTTACCATCATCATTTATTGCCCATGATTGAAGTACACCTTTCTGTAAACAACGAGAATACTGGATTAAAAAACTAGGCACGGCCTTTCCATATGACAATGACAATGTCATAGCGTTTGGAATCTTTCTAGTCCACAGTGTACCAGTGTGAATGCGATGGGACTTTTAACAATACACAAAGACGTAAGCGTAATCATGGACATCGGTCTTACAATTAACCTGTTCTACACGATGTCTCCTTTGATTCACTACTTCCTTATTTAAATAAACAGTTAGGTCTTCATCACATTCTCACCAAACTATACGCTGTCCCTTTGAAAGTTTTAAATAGTGTATTTGAAAAGTCAAAGAAAGTACATATTTGGATTCTTCGACACCAGAATGCAGGCTCGGATCTGTGCTTATGGATATTGCAAATCATAGGCTTTTTAAACTGCCACGTTTTACGGAAGAAAATATTGCTCAAACAACACGTTTGTTTCTTAAACTTCAATATGCCAACAAAGGAAATGACGCAGTTAATATAAGTAATATTCTTAATCACAAAAGGGTCCGGTCTTGTATTGCACCATATTTCCAGTTGAAGTCCACACCTTGTATTTCTTAAAATATACATTGACTATTGCTTCCAAACTTTTTAATTACAAAAAACTCTACTACAGTGCCTAGATATCGAACTTCTGAAAAATAATCCTCCAAAGTGTTCATGTACTTCACCCTACAATATAGGCATTACTCCCACTGGAGCGAAAATATGTCTTGCCACTTTTCGCGATGAAAGGAATCGCATTCTTACATCTCATTGTCGACAAGTGTGTATGTTATACATCTCATTGTCGACAAGTGTGTATGCTATACACTCCACTAATAGCAATATATCAATTTGTTTTTATCACAGACATTGTTTTGAAATTGTAAGTTTAAAGATGTATTCGCTTAAAAAACTAATTTAATTATTTCTACATTTATACAATTAATTTGATATTGATATTAGCCAACTCTTGACAGTAGATGTCCTCTTGTTCATAACGATTTTTTAGCCTGGGGAGGGGGGGATGGGGGTTACAGACTACAGATCTGAAGATATATGACATTTTTTAAAACTGGAAAAATAATATAATAAGTGATAATTTTAATCATATCAACAATTTATTGTTGAAAGAAGTAATTAAAATCAGGCTTAAAACTTGGCTTAATTTAACAACTTGGACACTGGGTGTATGCATGTAAATTTATATAATTGAAAATAATTCAGTGTAATTGAAAAAGAATTTTTTTTTGTTTCCAAACAAATACCTCTCTCACTCTTTGTCGGTTTATCGTATAATGTACACACTACTTCCAACTTTATTCAGGTAAAATAAGCAGCTATGCTCTGTAATTTTCGTCATATTTCACTTCTTCCGTTTTTAAAAAAAAAACGATCTATTTAGATCCGGAAGGACTTTTCAACTTTATACACAACCATTCCCCACGATAAATTGAAGTCCAGGCTTTTTGATATCATTGACAGCTGCTTTTTTAATAAAAATGGAAAATTTATTTACCTTGTTATTGGTCATTTGCAAATTTATTTTGTTAAAAAACATTCTGATTGTACACACAAGTACTCTGAAGTTGACATTAAAAAGATGCTTGAGTTTCTGATTGACAATTTCTTTGTGGTTTTTGGAGACCAGGTCTTCCAACAATCTATTGGAATTCCCATGGGTACCAATTGCGCCCCGTTATTAGCAGACCTTTTTTGTATTCATATGAAGCAGAATTTGTCCAAAATCTTATACGTGAAAAGAAAAAAAACACTTGCTGTGACCTTTAACTCGACATTTAGATATATCGACGACGTATTGTCAATTAACAATGGTTATTTCCATTCTTATTTCGATACGATATATCCTGGTGAGCTTCAGATAAAAGATACCACAGAGTCTTACACATCTGTTTCATATTTGGATATTTTGCTTGAAAAGGACGTTAATGCTAATCTAACAACCAAGCTTTGTGATAAACGTGATGACTTAACTTTTCAATCGTCAACTTCCTTACTTATGCAGCAATATACCTTCATCACCTGCATACGGGGTATATATCTCTCAGTTGATTCGATACGCAAGAGCATGCTCTACGTATGTACAATTTCTAAAACGAGGTAAATTATTGACAAACAAGTTGATGAAACAAGAATATCAGCAGTCTCGTTTCAAGTCATCATTTCGTAAGTTCTATGGTCGATACAATGACCTTGTCAGCAAATACAATTTATCATTGAGTCAAATGCTGACTGACGTTTTTCATACTAATTGTTAGACCATTATTTACACACTGAATTGTCGACGGATTTTTCTGTTATTTCCCGATCATGACAAGGAGCACACAGCGGGTGTGACCGGTCGGCAAGGGATGCTCACTCCTCCATGGCACCTGATCCCACCTATGATGTTTAGAAGTCCGTGTTTGCTCTGCTCCTATTTTGTATTGTTTGAATACTGTTCGTTATCTCCATATATTTCATTATTTTAAAAGGGGCAAAATTTAGGGAACCCCGTTTTTTTCAACAGGCGTCATAATATTATGAATTCTGTGGAAGATTACCTCAGACAATTGTCCAAACATGAAAAAGAAGATCTTGACACTTCGTTAGAATTGATGAAAAGTATCAGATGGATGTTGAAATCTCGCATTAAGCGATTGAGGGGCAATATGAAAACCATTTATCCTTCTGTCTTCAATAATTCAGAAAGGAAAAAGGAATTAGATATATTACACAATCAGTATGTACTCGTCCCAGCTGACAAAGCATTTAAAAACATTGTCTTTGTTTGTAAGGCTCAATATTTTAATTGTATTTAGGAGGAACTGGGATTGAATTCTGCTAGTGGTAATCCAACTTATACCCAGAGCTCCCTTTCTAAGGAGGAAATTCTTTAAAATCATATGTCAGTTTTAAATATTTTTAATTTTCCCAACAATCAAAATTAATTTGAATTACCATACCTATACTGGATTCGGATTCCTAAACTTCATAAAAATCACTACAAACAAACATACATAGCGGGTTCCAGTAAATGTTCTACCAAGCCTCTTTCTTTACTCCTCACTAAAATATTAACAGCAGTAAAGGAGAAACTTCAGAAGTTCTGTACAACAATATATTCGAGAAGTGGTGTAAATCAGATGTGGATACTTAAAAACTTTTAGAAAATTTGAAATCGAAAAATTTTACCAAAATCAGTAACATCAAAACGTACGACTTTCCAACACTTTATACAGTCATTCTCCACGAAAAATTAAAGCCCAGACATCATAGACAGCTGCCTTTTCAATAAAAATGGAAAATTTACTTACCTTGTCATGGGTCATTTACAAAATTCTTTTGTTAAAAAACATTCTGATAGTACACACAAGTACTCTGAAGTAGATATTTGCAAGATGATTGAGTTTCTGATTGACAATATCTATGTAGTTTTTAGAGATTAGGTCTTCCAACAATCTGTCGGAATTACCATGGTTATCAATTGCCCCCATTTATTAGCAGATCTATTTTTATATTCTTATGAAGCAGAATTTATTCAAAACCTTATACATGAGAAGAAGAAAACCTTGCTGTGGCCTTCAACTCGACATTTAGATATATCGACGACGTATTATCAATTAACAATAGTTACTTCCTTTCATGTCAACTCGATATATCCATGTGAACCTGAAATATGAGATACCACAGAATCTGACACATCTGTTTCATATTTGAATATTTTACTAGAAAAACGACGTTAATGGTAACCTGACAACAAAACTTCATGATAATCGTGATGCCTTCAGCTTCCCATACTTATGTAGCAATATACCCTTATCACTAGCATCTGGGGTTTATATCTCCCAGTTGATTCGATACGCAAGATCATGCTCCACGTACAAACAATTTCTAAAAA